ACCTGTGTCTGATCCGCAAGGAGCCAACGCCTGAGGGCCACCACTGCGATGGCCAGACCACGTGGACACGGCTCTCCACACGCTGGCAGAGTGCCCGGCGTGGGTTGAGCAGAGGCGAGACCTCGTGGCGGCCATCGGAGTGGGAGTTCTCTCGCTCGATAGCCTGATTGCAGCTATCGTGCGGAGCGAGAGTGCGTGGAACTCTGCCGTCTCCTTCTGCGAGCAAGTTATGCTCGCGAAGGAGACGGCGGAGCGGGACCGGGAGAGGTTTAGAACTCTCCCGGCCCGCCAGGCCCGGGAACGGGCCAGGTACCGCAGGCGACTCAGGCGCCGGAGGTCGCAGAACGACCTCCGTCCTCCATAAGCGCAGGCCTGGGGGTGACAGGTGAGTTGCGAAGCGCGCTCGCTTCCAGGGAGCACAGGGAACATGGGGTTCCCACACGGGGGGAGGGGGGGGGGGGGGGGGGGTCGTCTACTCGTCTGTAGATGACCCGAGGTATGTCGGGGCACCAGGGACTTCCTTTCTAGGGTATACCTGGTTCCCCGGCTATTAGTACCCGGCGACGGCGTGCGGTTTTAGTCGGTTCGAGTCCGACATGCCACCGACAGGTGGTACCCGAGGGGATTTCCGCACGGAAAAAAAAAAAGGGTTAAAAGGGTAGTAGTAAACTATCTTGGTGAACAGAAACAATAGAATTGCGTAACAGCAGTTTTCTGTGATGTCGTAGTACGTATCACTCCGGTCAAGGCCCATATGTTCGAATGCGAATCTCTAGCTGTTGAAGAATAAGGTTTATTGTATTGTTTTTACATTTTTCCTAAGTTCTTCTGTGTCTTTATAATATTGGAATACTCGCGAATTTTATTATAGACATGAACAATTGATCATTCATCCATTAGTTAGAGTTAATGATGCCACGAAATCCGCAAGCTTTGTGTTTATTTATCTTCCTAATATACTAATGTAGAACAGAACCAGCACTGATTTAGCTGCACGTTTGGTGCAATGGTTAAAATATTTGTATATATAAGTACCTAAGTCTACGCCGAGTATTGTGGGGTCGATTTCCACACGGGCAAAAATTTGGGTGATTCACAAATAGGTGTTCCGAATCTGGGTGCTTTTAATGTTTGAGATAATCATGTTGACTATTATTTCTTTAGAGAGTCTCTCTGGCCTGAGCATGATAGGCATGATGTAATTTAGCATGAATAGGAATTAGCTTCAAGTTAGACTTCTTTTGAAGTGGTGACAATGGTACAACTGCCCTCAAACGATCATGTTTTGTATTCGGTATACCCTGGGTACTCTGATGTTTTTTTTGTGGTTTAGTCAAGATCTTAGGCTTACTTTTAGTACTTTTCTGAGTCATTGTTGGGTTACTCCTCGATGTATACTCCTCGCTTCTGGAAAGTAAGTTTTTCTGTAGGTAGTAAAATAAAGCTAAAATTTTTGTCAAGTTTTTTTGTTTGTTTAAACGCGGTAATCTGTAATTCTGTCAGTCGTATTAGAATTATTCCTTTATTATTGAATAAGGTGTTCATACCTTTAATTGAGAAATGCTATGTAACATCACATGGCGACTCTTAAAACCGGATAAATAAATGAGTGTAACTGAATGGAAACGCCAGTATAAAATATAAAATACAGTCACAAGTAGGTATCTACATACCTATACATACATATATAGCAGGGAGGACTCCATGGAGCCGCCGTTGCTGGAGCTCCTCCCGACTGCCGGGGAAGACCGACGTTTCCCCAACGGACGACCGTTTTCCCAACGGAGAGTATGGTGCAAAAAACATTCCCCGCGTTAAAAAAAAGGTACGATTCATATTTATGTTTTATGGTGATATGTGTTCTTATAATTATAAAGGCAAGTAAACATGATCCAAATATAGTAAAATTGATGAAATGTTGTTAAAACTGAAACATTAAGTATAATGAAACACCCTACTGCAGATAATAAATTTAAAAGTACCTAATGCACTAAAAAGATCGTAACAGCACGAGGTCCATCTCAAACATACCCATTTTTAGGCCATCAAAATCTTTTTTAACTAATTTATTATTCCTTATTAAGTACAATTAAATATATTTATATATAAGTATAAGTAAATAGATTGATAGGATTGGTTATTTTTTTTATTAACCTATTACTAAGCCATCTAAGGACACCTGGGTTTTTGAGATGGATAAAACAATACCCTAACTGTCGAAATCCGTCCAGCCATTTGGAAGATACGAGGTACACGTCAAAACATTACCCATCCTTATCAGTCCAGTAAAAAAAAGATATTAAATTAATGTAACATATAAACGGAATATTAATTTTCTCTAGAATCTATGCGAGACTGTTAATGCCATCTGTTAGAATGTATGCGAACTACGAAGTGCGCGGCGTTTACTATTGGACGAGAATGACGTCGTCGTCACCTTGGCAGTTGAGATAGACACAGCGTTACAGAATAGTGTTAGAAAGAGACAAAACAATAACAGACGCATCGATTCGGAGGTCAGGCGCGCATGTCAAGTGCATTTCGATAAAAATAAATTGAGTCGCTAGTGGTTGAACGAATGCTTCATTTAAGTAGATAAGACAGATATTTACAGGCTAGGCTTCACTGTACGTGTTGGTAGACGCATTGGAGAGATTAGCATTATTGTTTTAAACATTTGTGTGGAGTATAAATTAGTAAAGAGCTATATTTGGATGAATGCATTTTAAAACATGACCAACAGGTATAAATGTGAATGTTCACTTCAAAGTTTCATTTAAAAATAATGTTTCTCATCTATTACGAATATTACGAGCAATATTACCTAAGGCATAGATTTAAGGAAGAAAATGTACCTAGACAAATAAATATTTTTCTATCACATTTATCGTGTGACATAATAATTGGAAACATAATATGAGATCATAAAAACAATTTGGGAGACAAACCTAATATCATATTCAACACATTCCCACGTAATAAGATTTCACATCAAAGTAATATTTTCTTAACGTAGGACGTGTTTGATTGAACAAATAAAGGTAAGTCACGTAGACATACATAACACCGTTTTATTATCCCCCTCTCTTTTATTCTCACTTAAATTGTTATATTCACATCCCATTCCCTTTTTTTTAAGCATTCTTTTAATTATCATTTTTTCTAAAGTTGAATTGTCACGCTATTATGAATCCTATCACTATGTAAATACAAACTTTTAAAGTCAATGTTTTAGGAAGTAATATAATATCATTACGTACTTTTCTATGTGAGAGTGTTTCATTTACTAATACATTTACAAAGTAATCATGCTAGTTTAGTGTTCTCGTTATAACGATAAATGTTAATTTAAAGTATTGGTTTTACTGCTTTATTGTATGATGTTAGACAGAGTGCGCAATAGGTTAGTTAGAGTGAGAAATAAGCGAGTTCCTGTGGTAAGGTTCACCCTTAAGCGCGGGGATCGATCTGCTTTAGCTGTTGGGTATACACGAGATTAAATGGTCGCAGTGCTAAGTAACTAAATATTGGAAAATATATTTTACTTTGATAGTTTTGACATTTGACATTGTAGCTAAATATTTAAAACAACGACATAGCCAAACACTGACTGCACGGATGGCATAGTGGTTTAAGCGGTCACCTCGCCGCTTCCTTCTGCGCTGAGTTTTGTGGGTTCGATCCCTACATAGGACAACACTTCGTGTGATCCACAAATTGTTGTTCTGAGTCTGGGTGTGTGTCGTTGTTGCCTGAATCTTTGTAAAGTCCCCCGCGACACAGGATATATTCTTATTGCGGGACTGGTCATTTTTTAAGAAAAGAAAAGTCAGAAAACAAAACAAACTTTCTACCAACATTTTCACTCTCACTGCTCTAAATTTTAGATTCCTACCTCTTTTTATTACAACTAATAGCTCTTTTTATTATAGCTTAATTACGAAGCAGAAGGTATTTAGACAAAATGCGATTTAAAATAGTCGATTTAAAATATATCTACATTTTTAGTTTTTATAGTTAAAAAAACTAGAAAAATTTAAATACATAATCTCCTTTCCAGATTTCAACCCGAATGTGTAATAAAAAATTATATTAAATGCATCAAATACATTGAATTAATTTGGGAAGTAATCGTCGATACCAAATCTAAATAAAATAAAAATATGCAAATGACAGGCATCCAGGTTATAAAGTGATTAATTAGCCAAGTAGATTCTATTAACATGCTTTTAAGTACAGAGATGCCGAAAGCAAAATAGGCACCCAATGGCTCAAAAATACTTGCATGTAATTTTATCATAACAATGACAATTTGATGACAAATAATGTATGTTATAGAGACTTTTGAAACAAAAATTCTTCGTTCAATTAAAACAATCTAATTAGAAGTTTAAACAACTAAAAATATAGAGATACTTAACTGTTTGTTTAAAGGTTTTCATGAACTTTTTGATACCTCTGGATTCGAAAAACCTCAAGAAATATCTCGGGAAACTCCCGACCATGTAGATCGTTTTCCGTCCACTCACACACGAATATATTTTCCCTATACCCACTACTACATACAAACAGTCTATTCACACAAACAAACATCCACACTGTTGAACTTCGCACACAAAAACAAAATGACATGCAATTTTCGCCCTAAGTGAAACAGGCTTGCTCTCAATGTGTCCTACATTTAGCAATCCGTAAGTTAACCTCAAAATTTGAGTTTTTGACCCAGACAAATGGTGTTATCGACTGTGCAGTTTCATTCTAAGTAGAACTGTCAATACAGATGAGATCTCGTTGAGTTTTGCCGGCATTGTGTGTGTGTTGTCACTAGTGGGAGTGATAGTGGTGTGGCTACAATTTGAAACGTTTTTCGGCCAATATTCGGTTGTGTCTGGATGGTGTCAGTTGTAGGATGTGGTGTGTCGTGCTAACGTTATTTAACACGGTTTTATGATAACTTTTGGAAACAGGTAGATGACTTATAGGAGACAACTAAGAAGAGAATGAGCGTAAGTATTTATGTTTTGATTTATCAAATAATTACATTTATTTAAAAAAAGAACTTTAGACTTACGCAAGTTTTTTTAAATTTCCTAAAACTTTTTTCGATGTTTTTTTTTAAAGTAATTAGACTTTTTCTAAATATTATTATGTAGTAGTCAGTGTGTTTATTGGCGTACACGAATATATGTGTAGGTATTCTATACCTACCATGTATACCTATTTATCCTTCCATTTTCTAATAGTTCAAGGGGATCTTATCAGTTCATGGTGAAACAAACGCACCATATGGATTATCTCTACCAGAAAGCTCTGATGTTAATTATACATTCATGGGTGAGTTGATTGACAGAAGTACTAAATACTAAATATAACCACTTTACAACGGACAATACCTAACAGAAATTATTTAAATTGAGATTTGAAGTGTCGAGACTGTTATGGGTTTAACATTTTACTTAAAATGCCTATTTGAAATTAAACTATAATTATATGTGCTTAAAACATATTTTAAGCTGAATTCAATGCGACAGAGACTAAAATATATAGTAATACTCCTCGACCATCGGAGGGCCATACTTCGGCGCAAATGGGTTATCTCCAGAGTGATGCCACAGCCTCTTGTTACCAGAAATTTTTTCGTTACTTTAAGTAAGTATGTGAGTTTGTGGCGTAATCAGAGCCCCAAATCAGAGTCCTCCCCCTTAATAAATAATAGTAAAGTAATATATCTGTTTAGTATTCATTCCCATTAGATGGAAGAGTTTGAAACGTTAATTTTTCTGAACCTTGTAAAGATTGTAAAAAAAAAACTCATCCACAGTCTTAATTAGTCCACTGTTGGACATGACCTTACAAAGGAGGTTTCGGCGTACTATACCACGCTGGCCAAACGGGTTGGTAAAGGGTTTGTGTTAAGATTGGATTCTTTGCAGTGCTGCGTAGTATTCTCCCTTAGTCGGCTCTTACGACACCTACCAAATGAACATGAGTGGTGATACACTGTATTCTTAAAATGTCAAAACACAAAAAAAATGATGATGAGTTTAAACCAACCAATATTTAAAATATAAGTAGGCAATGTTATCTAAAATTAATTACCATAGATAAGATTTTTAATCATAGGTCTTGTTATCATTACCTATACCGTGAACAATGAAATGTTAAACGTCAAATTGAAATCCTTAGATGACAGATTACAAGGTAAGGTAATTAATTAGGAGCTCTCCTTTCATACACACGACCATAATTTAAACGAGGACAAACCACAATTGATTTACGTATGTGGATAGCTATATTGTTTAGAAGATCGCAAGGACTTTGTGCACATAAAACGCTTTAGGTCTGAGGTTTTAAGGCAAATGTTTTTAATTTTTAACAAAATCCGTTTTATGTCATCTTAATTTCCTTAAAAGTCGACGTATTTCGAGCAAGGTTTTTTTTTATATTACGAAATTATAGGTTTCTTAAGTAATTACCACGCTTTCATTAAATTGAAACTTCGCATAAATCAATGACCGAAGACAATACAATATTTTGATTTGATTAATTGACAAAAAACTAAAAAAAGCCGTGTGGTGTCGTGGGACACCCGATAGGAACGAAGTTGTGACGATCGAGTAAAACTGATTTGACACGATTTTAATTACAACGCCATCTATGAAAGCGGCTATTACCTACATATTAAAAACAATTAAAAGAATTTATACATTGGTAAAATCTCCTTGCGAAATGATTTCCTATCTATTCGATAGATGGCGCTGAATGTCTGACAAGATGACACGAAAATAAAGAGCAAAAAGCCAACATCACGTGGTATTCCCAGGCGGTCACCCATCCAAGTACTAACCACGCCCGATGTTGCTTAACTTCGGTGATCGGACGAGAACCGGAGAATTCAACATGGTATGGACGTTGGCGAACGTTAAAGCAAATTTAATGTATGGTATCCACAGTTAGACGTCAATTTATATTAATAAAAAAGTGTCGTTCCAAATTTTCGTACGAATTTTTTCCGTCTAGCCCCCTTTCACAACGCGCGATAAGGAACTTCGTTCCAAAAGTGCTTTTGTAACCAGCTGAACTAAAAAGTAGAAAATAATTTTCTAGAAGTTCAAAAAGAAAAAATATTTTATCGTGAAAATGCGTGGGGTGCTAGATCTAAATTGTTGTTAAAGTATTTTTGATATTTCTCTAGTAAAGCAGCTAGTATATGTAAATGTGGAGGCAGAAGTGAAGATTGAGGAACCAGTTCCAATAATCGCTCTCCTCGAATTGCGTCGATATTTTTATTCCATTTCTTTTTTACAAAATGTTTAAAGACTTACTAAATCTTCATGTAGAAATAGAAAGATTTTATTCATTTGATTTGGTAATATTCACTAAAATATTATTATTTCTTGTGTTGAATGAGGGACCACAGTTTATTCGATATATATTTATTTGACTTTGATAGTTTGTGGTCTGTTATTCAGTAAATATCTTCGATCAACAATAGCAAAGTTGTTATTATTGATCGAAGGAATATCTTTACATATTTTTTACTAAATATCTTTAGTTACAATACCTTAATTTTTCGGATATTTGCCAAGATCTAGCTGATGAGCTGTGAGAGCTGAGGGACCGCACTATAAGAGGTGTAGTTTTTAATAAAAAAAATTACAAATTCCTAGATATGTTCTACAATTGTTTCAAGTCTACTACTAAATCATATGACTTTTATTTTACGAAATACCAGTATGGTCCCTCAGTTCTCACGCACATTCTTCATTCGACTTTTGTATAAAACCAGCACCATAGGCTAGTTAAACACTATTCATGCTCCTAATACCAAATTACAGTCGGTATTGTCGTCGGAATTACATCTACATCTACAAAGTTTTATTTCGTTACGGCCATTACGAGTTGGTTAAATTAACTTCAAAGATGTGTATGCATAGTTATACCTACATACTTAACTGAAGCTAAAAGATGTTTTAAAAAACCTTATACCTACTCGAACGTGACCCAATTTCAGGAATTTATTAACTGATGTCTTGTCATTTAAACTTACCAGCGACGGAGCCGAAAGTACCACGTCACTTAATTGAATGAGGGTTAGAAGTAGCACACTAAAGGATAGAATAGAATCCTTCGTTTCTTCAATAACCTGATTCTTTTGTAGTCTCTCTTATACGTCTGAGTTGTTGATCATCTTTATCAGTTCTGTCTGTTATTCTTTGGAACCATGTTCCCTTTAATCCTCAACATAAACCTATTTACATGCGTATATGCAGGTTCAGGTATATGGTAGTAGGTAGTAAATGATTAAAACCGCCTGTACTGCCTATTGATCAAGGCACATAAAGCTTAAATAGTAAACAAAGGCATAAAATTCTAGTTTTCATCTCAGTAAGTTCTATTATGAATGTAATGACCCTTATTAGGTTTTTAAACTCTCAATGTACAATTTTTCCGCACCATGACAGGTTAGCATTTCAGTATGACAGGATGAGTATCTTTTTGTAACCGTTTTCGTTTTTTTTTAATGTGTAGCATCTTATATCTTATCTTAAAATCTAGATAAATGTTAAATTGCTTTGATACGCTTCAAAAACTCAATAAGTTCTACACCGATTGAGCTCAAATTTTGACACGATGTACAATTGTTTCAAAGATGGTTTTTATCTATTTTCACTTAAGTTTCGTTCATCATATCTCACGAATGCTACCACAATCTGCCACAGCGAAGCGTGGCAGATTGTGGTAACAGCTAGTATATTTATAAATACGCTGGCTTTCTAAATTTCTGTTCATAAAGATACAGACAAATAAGTCTCTGCCCTTTTAAAAAATAGATTTGACTAATTTTTTTTTCTTTACTGAGATAGGTCTAGGAACGAAAGCCACAAATAACAGCACAAATTGTTTAAGGAAAGGGTCACTGATTTGAAGTTCGTATTCACCACTTCTGCATCATTAATACGACGGCTTATCCATATTTTTTAGCAGAATGAGGGAGAGACATATCTGAGTGCTCGTCTTATCTGATACCAATAATACGCTGTAAAAACACATAGATATTTATATGTGCTCCTTCCTCTTGTAGGATTCTGTTGACTGATGCTAAAACTCGTCAAATAACTTGAAAATATTTTTCCTTATAATAAAATCGTTTTAAAATACGTAATGATTATGGATTAAACCCTGCTAATCCTTTTTAAAGATTATTTTTAAAGATTTTATCAACCTACCAATTACAAAGGTTATGATTTTTTTATAAGTTACATAGCCGTGTTTCAAGGATGTTGATACTGTTTGGTTAATTCTACTATGACTATAAAGGCATGGTTCTCAATGTGCGAATGTATCCAGACTTTGACGATTTATTTCGTTTTAAGTCATTAAAATTCACGAGAAATTCAAACACTCAAACATTTTAGGGACACAAAAAGATTTCGGACAAATCTTTGTCCAAATTCATATTTTTGTTAGGTAACAATTACATTGGTTAAATATTATTTAATACCTTATAAAATGTCTAACGAAAGAGAGCAAATTGTTTTGTATTTGTTTTATATTTTTAGCAGGTTATGAATATTAATCTTCCCTGGAGGTATTTTCTACTATATTTTCTCATTAATCATTTTCTATTTTAGGTATGGATAAAGAGGACATAGTTTTGACATTTTCCTTTGAGTTTTGTTAGAGCTAGAAGGTTCTTTTTTCAAAGTTCACTGATGTCATCTTATCTTATATTGACTGATTAAAAAGAGTTATCATAAGAATTTCTTATTATTTTTCACTGTACTTCTTTTTTGGCTTTTTTTACTGACAATTTTTTAACTTTTCCAACTACAACTCTACATGGTTTCAAAAAGCCTGCGATGCTAAACTTATCTAAAAGTTGTATTCTAAATGTTGTATTACAATTGAATGTTAGAAACATTTTAATACGGAGTAAAATACCAGTCTCACAAAAGACGAACGATTTACAAAGTGCTTTTAATTTACAAGTACTTACTTACTT